GTCGAACCGAGAGGTTTCAAACCCTCCGCTTCGGGCGGGCGCGCAAACTCAGGGTGAGCATGGACGGTCGGGGGAACACCTCTAAGCCACAAGGCAGGATTCATATCACAATTAACGAGTGCTTGAGACACTAGGGGAGCGGACAAGGAACTCCCAGACGCGGTGCCTCAGAGTCTCAGGCGCCTTCAGACACCTGGGGCACAACTGCTGCTCCTACGTGCCCGTCGGGAACTGGCGCACGCGCGGCCACTGCGCTCGAGGAGCCACGCAAAGTGTCTGGCCAGCCTGGTCGCAGCCCCCATTCCGCGAGAACTTGACAAACTCTCGGCGAGCCCAATAGAGATCAGCACCTCCAGCGAGATCTTCAGCTCCCTCGCGCTCAGAAGCTCGAGACCAAAGCTGAGCGTGAAAAGCAAGCATAACTTCTTCAAGCACGCCGCCAACATCCATCTCAACGCCAGAAAATCCATCCAGAGACGATGCGGGGCTCTTCCACTCAGCAAGTCCACCCTGCTCTGGGCGCCACCAGGAAGTAGCTGAGGAGGGCTTCCAGCCCGCATCAAGCAACGTGGCAATCACTGCAGACACTGGACCCTTGACCAATCGCCATCGCCCTGACTGCCCAGCAATCTCCAGGCGACGAAGAACTTCAGGCCAGCATGTTTCCACTCTCTGGTGAAATTCAGGGCGAAGGCGCCAGACCGTAAGATACTCGGCCAGAAGCTGGCGTCTCAGCTCCAAGGCGGGGTCTTTCTGACCATGCAATATGGCTAATGTGCTGGTCAATCACCTGCCCTTCAACGGGCCCGCCCCTGCCGCGGCCGCCGGAAGTCGAAGGCGAAGGAGCTGGTAGGGTGCAAGGCCATGAACTTGATGTCCATATGCGGCCTGCGGCAACGCTCCAGTCTTCCACATGCCCTGCGAGACCCTGCGGAGCCGCACATGACGCCGAAAACGCTGCAGACGAGCGGCGCGGCGAGCAGCGTTAGCAGCGCGTTGGAAAAACTTGCGAACCGTCCTCCGTCCACCGCCAGTAGCATCAACACCAAGGTCTACCGCCTCCAGACAATACTGAACTGGAATCGACTTACGACGGGGCTTATTGGCCAACTTCTTGCCCAAGCTGACCACGTTAGAAATGAGCACCGCCTTAGAAGAAACCACCAACCGCATAGTGTCCAAACCCTGCTTGAACTTAGTAGCAGACGTGACCATGCGAGTATGTACCTTATTCTGCGGTCCCTCTGAACGCAACACAGTATCGTCGCTGAGTGTCCAAAAGGTAATGAAATCCGCTCTGGACTGAGCACGCTGCAGCAGCGGGTGCAGGAAGAGCTTGGATGACCGCACCCCACGAGAGTGAACCTGCCACCAACGACCGAGTCGGAAGGATGGCGTCGGACGCCCCCTTCTGGCCACGAAGAAAGCGAGGACCCGCACATAACTGCACCTCCAGGCATACCACTATGGGCGGGTAGCCCAATTGCTGCGCAACGCAGCCCAAAAGGACCTAGGACGGCGAGTCGTACAACCTCTCGAAGTCCAGCAGCAACGTAGCCACCGTGATGCCCAGCACCGCCGCCGTCTCGTCAAGGAGAGCCCTCGGGAGAGCGGCGCGTAAGGCGCTGCTGCCTGCAATAGCAGCGTCCCAGTGCGCCTCCAGACTTTCAGTCCACTCTGAGGTGGCACCATAGCGCAGGCGGCTCCAGATCTTAGCGGGCTCAGCTAAGAGCCCAATGACCCTTTCCACTCCCTTGGGTTTGGGAAGGAGGGCGCAAATTGTGCTAAGCAACTGCGCTGGCCAGACTCCTTCCTGCTCAACTTGGCCCAGCAACTCCAAGAATTCCACCCGACCTTGGGGGGGGGGGGGCCTTTGAAGATGACGAGGAGCAAGAGCATCGACACCTGAGGCCTTGGCAGGAAGCTCGGCCACCACACGCTCCAAAGACGCCAACTCCAAGGGAGGCAAGGGGTCTTGCAGAGCCTCGCGATGCAACTGCTGAGGCATATGGGTGATGGCCTCAGCGTCGTCAACAGCGTCAGTCCACAAGGATCGCCAGGCCTCCCGCTTGTCGCCCATGAACTCCGACAATTCCGAGATAACCTGCCCACGACGAAAACTCTCATGCACCACGGGCTGAGGGCCACGAGCCATCGCATGAAGACGTCCAGGATGTTGACGCCACTGCTCCAGGGCCCACTTGGTGAACTGGTGCTTGCCCGATGTGAGAGAGCGAGCCTGCGCGCGATGAGCAAGCCTTTCCGTCAAATGTGACCAGTCGTCGAGTTCGTCATGATTGGCCGAGGGTATAGTGGCCGACCAACAAGGCCAGCGATCACGTTCCCCCTGACCAGATGTGCCAAAATGCTCAGCAGTGTCTGATGATTGAAAATGAGCAACATGCCGCTGAAGCTGCTGAAAGCAATCGGACAACTGCTCGGGGTCACGCCCATGCTTGGCCAACGACACCGTCCGTAATACCAGCGTGTGCGCTATGCCCCACTGCTCGCCCACTGGGTCAGAGAGATGAGCGCGGCCTGGAGCAGCCTGCGACAACTGCCACTTTAGCAGGGGACCTGCTCCACGCAGAGGTTCGAAGTCCTCCTGCTGATGTTGGACACTGAAGGCCATCTCCATCTTGGTGATCCAGGTGTTGTACCTGCTGGTGAGCTGCGACGAGCCCGATGCATTAATGTCCCCAAGGAAGTGCTGCTTCAGCGTGCGTCGGCTGATCTCCCCGAGATGTGGAACAGCAATAGTGCCTGAGGGCCAAACCTCTTCGGGAAGATAGAACGAGACTGAGTTAGCCTCTGCTGTCGTGGCCGTAGCCGGTTTGTGGAGCAGGTCAAATTCAGCTTGAAGATCTTCTGGGAGCTTCGCCCGACGTTGCGCAAGCGCTTCCTGCTTCTTAATCGAGGCTTTACTGCTTGAGTCCGTTTGCTTTTTGGAACGGCTAATTTTCGGGAAGGTTGGTACCGTGACGAGGCGCGGATGCCACCACCTCTGTCTGGACCCAAGGGTGTCGACCTGCAAGGCAATGTGCGTCTTCCACGGGACTGCCGCAAAACCTCGCATGCGAAAGCGATATGTGGTGCCTTGCTTGACCAAGCCATAGTCGATCAATGTACCTTGAGCCGCCTTGTCGCAGATGACCTTCACGCCAGGATACAAAATCTCGCCCTGCAACTTCGTAGACCATCCTGAACACAGAAATGCTGTAGGCTCCAGGTTCCAGTCGCCAACAACAATCCAGGGGTCGGCTGGCGCCGACAGAAATGCCCCCAAGCTAATCAAAATATATTGGTTGTGGCCTGATGTAGCTAGTCCAGGCCAGAGATAAATGGCCACGATGACGACATTGCCGCTGCTGAGGTGCAGGACCATGGATGCAAACCCTCGGAATGGATCAGCCTTGCCATGCCTGACTGCAGCCTGGCGAATACTTTGAAAGCTGGTGGGGGCCAGGTGCTTGCGGATAGCAATGAGCTCGCCGCCTGAGGAACCTTCTTTGCATGTCGCCTTGCTGCCCGTGTATGCAGTCTTCCACCCGTCGGCATCAAAGGTCTGGTCAACGCCGTCGGCAAACCTGGACTGCAACACGTGCATCTCCACGAAGCACACCATGGCGAACGAGGAGATGGTCGCAAGAAACTTGCGAGCCTGTGGACCCCATTCTGAAATATTACCATACAGAAAAGGAACGGAACCACCATCTGCAGCAAGAGGAGCCACCAGATCAGGCCGCCCAGAAAGCTTATGCAGTACTGGGAGCTGTGGGACTGGGGCCGCATCCTCAAACAACTTAGAGTCCTCAGCAGCTGCAGGCGCGTTCCTGAGACGTTCCCCTCCATTAACCCAGGGGGACCGATCTGAAGCAGACGGGCGGAGGGGGTCTGCAGGGCGGCCAGGGGCGTCAGGAGCAGCAGGCTGCTGCCCCTCGGCACCCTCAGTACCTGTGGGCACGGCGTCGGTGGAATCTGTCGCTTCCGCATCCAACATGTGACCCAGGTCATCGAAGGGGTCGTGGTTTGCGTCGCCCCAGCCAGACGCAAGACCCACAACCTCAGGCACCGATGCCATCTGAGTCGAGGACGGAGCAATCGAAGCACCCGTGGAAATCCTCCCCGTGTTGGAAGAGCATCCTGCTGACGCCTCCTGAGACACACTCGTGGCAAACGAAGCACAGGTGGCAATCCTCGCAAAACTGGCCGAACCCGAACTGGGCGCGGAAGGTGAGGCAGAGCTGCCAGTAGCCGTAGTTCCTGTGGGCGAGGGGCTGCGACGATCAGGGGCAGAATCCCTGCGCCCCTCGCCCAAAGACGAAGAAGGCCACGAACTTGCCGAAGAGCTCACGCAGCCAGTCGTCCGACCGAGGGCACGGGCGCAGGCCGCCTGACTGTCTCGGCCTGGCGGCGCTGCATGGTGGGGACGCCCGCAAAAGGGGAGCACCACCTGGAAGCCACCCTGCACGCGCCGCTGCGGCGCCCGTGTGTCGAGGGTCTCCTGAGCTTCCATGAACGCAATCGCTTGCCGCTGCAGCTCCTCCTGCCACGAATCGTAATCTTCGGACTCCAAGTTCCGCAGCATCTGCAAATAGCGAGCTCGCTGGCTGCGCCGAGCGCGCCAAGCGCGCTCACAGATACGCCTGGCCATATCAAGAGCTGCAATGGCAGGATTCCCATGGCCTGCTGCAGCAGCTGCTTCTGAAACAAGCGGACTGAGCAAAGGATGAGACAACCACGTCGAGATGAAGGGAATGCAGTGCCCTTTCCAGTGGGCCTCGTCCGAAGCCTCGTTAGCTGAGCTAACGTCAGGGATCCATCTGGCAGCGAAGGAGCGGAGGCTCCGCTCAAGCACTTCACGATGGTGAGTCGCAGCTCGGCGTTGGGGATCCTGATCTTTAAGCTGAAGAATGCCCGCCAAGGGCTGAGAGACGGGGAGGAAGTGAGCCTCCTCCGCCTCATTGAGGAAAATGTCGCCATACTGCGGCGCAGGGCACCCATCGTACAGCGTGACCCTGTAGAGGTTGGCTTGGTACGACTGCGGATCGAAGGCGAGCTCCTCCGCAGCGCCCATGAAGATGTCACCGTAGAAGGTCGACGGCAAGCCAGGGTAGGTAGGCCTGCTGAAGTCCTTGCTGCGCTGCTCGGGTAGTGTCACAGGACTCCTTGGCGGCGCGCCTGGCAGCAGCTCGAACTTCTTCAGGCCCGTCAGCGGCGCCGGTTGAAGGAGCGCCGCCGCCGTCGCCCTCAGAGCCTGCGGCGGCTGTCCCTCCAGGCTGAGCAGAAGCACTAGCTCCAGCGCCATCACCTGCGCTATCGCCACGCCTGCGCTTCGTTTGCATCCGCAAGGACACCTGCTTGGCCTCCGCTCGTAGAGTAGCGAGCTGCTCCGCTGAAGAGCCGAGCGCCTTGGAGATCTCGGCCTTGATGCCAGCCGCAAGGTTGGTCTTGACTCGCTCCCAGTCGCGAAGGTCCGCAGGGTCGAGGTCGAGGCCTTCCGTGCTGAACATCGGGCCGTCGACGATGGTGAGCCCTTCGACCTCGCTGTCTTCGCCAAGGAGCGTGGGCAAGTTGAGCGACGATGCACCTGCAGCAGCGGGTGGCGCCGCCGCTGGCTGAGGAAGCCGCTTCGCACAGGCCTCCTCCCACGAGCGCTTGGCCTCGACAGCAGCCGCGACCGCAAGGTCTTCAGCATCACGCGCCTCATGCAGCCAGGCCTCACCCTCCAAGACCTTGAGAGAGCAGCGCTCGAGCCAGGACTTGGCCCGACGGTGCGCCACTCCCTTGGCTGAGACGTCCTCCTCAAGGAGCGGCTGCCGCGGTGCAGCAGGAGGCGGGGCTTCCTTCTTGGCGAGGGGCGCCTCCACAGCTGCCAGCTCCTCGGTGCCGTCGTCGCCAAGCTTGGCCCGCAGGGCCGCCATCGGATCGGCTGGCTCGAGCGGAACCGCTGCGCCGCCGTACGGGTACCAGCCCTGGTGGTATACCCACGGACGCCTGTCGACATGGCCCGCGGAGGCGGCGGCCTTAGCCTTGGCCTTCCCCCGCGGCGGCGGAGGAGCGCCTTTCTTGCCGCGCCCCTTGCCTGAGCCCGTGGCGGCTGCCGCTGCCGCCTGCGACGGCGTCGGGTCGGCGAAGGGAGACCCAGCAGGCTGAACGTGGAACGGCGAGTTCGAGATCTGAGGCGGACCAAAAGCCCACTGCCCAAGCGGGCGCTTCGTACCATCAGGCTGCGCCACCAGAGCCCCCGTGCACTGGAAGCACCAGTGGTTGTTCTTGAAGTTCCAGCGGTACCTGCTGTGCGGGCACGGGTCTTGGTACTGCTGCCGAGGCTTCCCACCACCGCTGTGCCAGCCATCATGGGCCATGAATGAACATGAGTGGAGGCTAGCGAACCCCTCGACCGAGGGACCTCCGTGAGCATTGATGAGACTGGTGCAGGTGCCCAACTCCTGCAGTAAAGGCGAAGAAACTCGAGGTCTAGCCGCGGACTAGCGGTATCCGTTTTGGCCCCAAGGGAACCAGGCATCTTTAGCCAAGATGGCTACGGTGGGAGGAGGAGGAGGAGGAGGAGGAGGAAGGAGGAGGAAGGAGCAGGGGCAGGGGGCAGGAGGGCGGATGGGGGGGGAAGGAGGGAGGGGGGAAGGGGGAGATGGGGCGGGAGCGAGCTGGGTGCGGTCGCGCCACGTCTGGCACCCTATCCTCCTCCTCCTCCTCCACCTCTCCTCTCCTCCTCCTCCTCCTCCTCCTCCTCTCCTCCTCCTCCTCCTCCTCCTCCTCCTCCCTCCTCCCTCCTCCCTCCTCCCTCCTCCCTCCTCCCTCCTCCCTCCTCCCTCCTCCTTCCCATCCCTTCCAGTTGCGCTGACTGCGCGCCGGCGGGTAACCGGCAACCTGGTTACAGTCGGGGCGCTGAAGAAGGAACCCTCTTCGTTGGGGAGGGACTCGGTGTTCCTTGACTGTTTCAAAGTATGCCTCGGGTTTTCCTGATGTTTTCGATGGGAAATCGAAGTTTAACTTATGGAAAAAAGGGGCCTCGTTCCCCATTTAGGGTTCCTCAGGTCAACGCCACGACTGTACCACCGGGAACCTCGTAGAAGTCCCAATCACTTGTTATGCTGAGTCTCGAGATGAAGTTTGTGAGCCAACCGTGCGCCAAAAGTGGTGTCGGGACGACGTCGGTTGGCCCAAGTGTTTTGATGGTAAGATTCGGAAGCTGGAATATCTACATTGCCGGTGGCGGGCTGTTTTTCAATCCCAGGATTTCTTGAGGGTCGAGGACGATGCTGGGGTGGTGTGGTGTATACTTTTTTCCCCGATGCCCCGGGGAAACAACAAAACATGTATACACTAGGGTCCCGTATACACCAGGATCCGCTCTCCAGTGCAAATTCCAATGCAGGGCCAGAAGAAGCGTCGGTATATAGAGCTCGATCCCCTAAACACAGCAGCTATGGAGCTAAAGCTAAGACAGACGAACGCTTCGTGATTCGCTACGCAGGGGAAACACTGTTCTTCAGAATGAGTGTTCAAATCCCACCAGCCCTTTGGGCGTGAGTGGTTTAGGGAGCTCTCTCTGTTCTCAACCCCCCTTCTTCCCCTTCGGGGAGGGGTTTACCCCTCCCCCTACCCCCTCCCCCTGGGCCTGGAGAGGTCCTTCCGCGGGTCGTCAGGGGGGTCATTTTCGACTCCTGGGAGGGCTAAAAAACGATACCCCTCACGAGGATTCTGGCCCCGACGGGGGGGGGGAGAAAAAATGCTCTCCTCTTCTTTGAAGCCAGAATCATTGATTTTACTACGGTTTTGGCCCCATTTTGGCCTTCTGAGGGGGCAGCGCTCCTTCAAGCTCCCCTCTTCTTTCAAGGCAAAATCATTGATTTTACGAAGGTTTTGGGCCCATTTTTCCCTTCTGAGGGGGCAGCGCTAATTGAAGCTCCCCTCTTCTTTGATCGATTTCCTCCAAGATGGCCCCAAGAAGCGCCCAGGAGGCACCAACAGGCCCCAAGATGGCCCCAAGAGGCCCCCAGGAGGCCCCAAATTGAGGATCCCAAACGGCCCAAAGAGGCCCCCCCGAGGCACCCAAGACGCCGAAAAGCCCATCAGGACGACCCTCTACTCGCCTGGGCGTCGTTTCTGGACGGGCAGGAGGAGGGGCCCGAACGACTCACACCAGGACGAGGGGCCCGAACAACTCACACCACGAGAAGCCCGAACGACTCACACCAGGACGAAGAGCCCGAACGACTCACACCACGAAGAGCCCGAACGACTCACACCAGGAAGAAGGGCCCGAACGACTCACACCAGGACGAGAAACCCCAAACGACTCAAACCACGAGGAGCGCTTTCTCTCCCTCCTCCTCCGCCTCGTCCTTCTCCCGCTCCCACCACAAGGAGGATGTACAAGGAGGCGGGAGGAAGGAGGAACAGGGGAGATATGCGGGGGCAGGCGGAAACACGCCTGAAAAACACGACTGTCGGCATGCTTCGCTAGAGTTGCTGTTTGAGATGGGCTGGTGGGGATACGCGAAGCGTGAAAAAAATCTCACAACGATCTGAACCTCAACGCCAAGTTAGCACACTGATTTGTTCTTGCTCGGTCGGCCAGCTAGCTCCGCTCGGCGCCCGAGTTCCTCGAGCCCTGGTCGGACCGAGTGCTCCACGAGGCATGCTTCCTCTATCCGCGGGCGCGTACACGCCGGTCGTTGAAAGTAGGTATGTTTGGATGCTCTATGCCTAATCTTTTTTGATCGCATTCCTACTTCAAGAGTGGAGCGGTTTTCCTTCTTTCCTCCTCTTCAGGGGGCGGGTGGAAACCCAATCTACTTCCAACGCCTTCCTGCTTCATGTTTCAACTCACTTCTTCCGACCGGCGTGTATGATAGCCGACCTGGAATTCCAACGAGAAGACCCTATGTCGTGCTATGCGCAGTCGGAGGGAGGGAGCTGCCTACACAGGCTTAGCAGGAGGAGGAGGGGGGGAAAGGAGGGGGGCGACAATTGTAACAAAGTGCCCAAATCCAGAAAAGTGGGGCCGCGCTGGGGCGAGAGCGCCATTCTGAACGATGGGAGCAAAGCGCCGATCCGAAAGTGAAGCCCACGCTGCAGTGGTAGCACCGTCTTGAGACGCCGAAGAATACCCGATTGAACAACACCATAGGAAAGACAAACTAATCAAATCCTGTGTGTGTCTCTAGAACAGTGCACGCAGTGGGCCTGAGATCTTCCAGACGGAGTCAGGGGAGAAAGGGGAGTTGCACCCAGAACGTGTAATTGTGAAGGGAGAGAGGAGTGAGAGGGGATGGAAGAGGGGGGGAATGAGGTTGGCTGGAGGAGAAGGTGGGGAGGGAAGGGGGGGGGATGAGATGGGTGGGAGAAGACGATGGGGAGCGATCCCGTCGTCAGGTGGTGCGTTTCCGTGGTCGGTCCCGGCCAGATAGACAACATCAACATTCTGCAGGCGACTCGGGGGGCTGAGGAGGAGAGGAGCTGTCCGATAGTTCATGCGCGGACTGCCACGCGAGACCAGACTGCCGGGTTCCAGTCGAGGCTCGTGCAAGATCTGTTTTTATCAAGATTTGTAGAAGCTGCTGCGCTCGCACCGCAGCCTCGAGGTGAGTGAGATGATGTCGAGGAGCCTTCCTGCAGGCATCAGCACGCATTGGGAGCGCTTCCTTTCCTCGGCTACACGGCTCGCGCGCCTTCCGGACCATTGGGACGTCGCTGCTGCGCCCGTTCGGCGGTGAGCCCGACGAGCCTTGTCCTGCGCCTTCAAGGCCGACCCATGGCCGGCTTCGCAGGATGAGGTAAGGCTCGCACCCCGAAGCCGAGCCCCGAAGCCAGGGCACCGGCACCAGCGACCACTTTGCACGACGAGGTCGACTAGCGCGGCAGGCGATGGAGGCACGCGAACTGCAAGGCCGTCGCGATTGAGGCTCGACGCGTCAACTCTCTCCTTCTCTCTCGCTCTCTTTCTTTCTTTCCATTTCTCTATATATAGAGA